GCGTGCATCACTCACTCACTCAATCAGTCCAGTGAGTGTGCGTGCATGACTCACTCAATCAGTCCAGTGAGTGATGCACTCACTGGACTGAGTGAGTGAGTGAGTGAGTGAGTGACTGTGCCTTAAATGTGTTCCTTTTCTACCCTTGCAGAGTAAGCCGGATCCCTCGGAGCTTGGGAGCCCAAAGACAACTGATGACATAGTGCAGGAAAAAGGAGAGGAGGGCCGAGTAGCACGACGGAGACACAAGACGGAGAGCGTGAAGCAGCAGTGGAGCCAGGAGAAAGCCATGGCTGTGGAGCTGGAGCAGGCCCAGAGGTGGGGTTAACGCCACTGCATTGAACTACTATCAATGTGTGCTAAAACTCCAAAGACCACCAAAATATCACCTCTTCTCTCAGTCAAAAGACTTGCAAAAATGATTTCTAAATGTAATATTTTCTATTTTTGAAAGATAATAGAGGTCTTTCCTTCTTTTGACCTCCAAGTTTGAGTGGGCGGGGCAGTGTACATGTTTAACTGACAGTCACACTACGTCTCCAGGACACATTTAGCAATTAGCTGGTGAACATGGCGGAGCATTCAGCAGCTAAAGAGACGGATATTTATAGATGGTGGAGGAGACCAAAAACAGAGCTAAAGGAGAGGAAATATTGAGATCACACTCATCACTTGGACACAATTTTATGATTCAAAAAAGAGCTAATTGATATATATGTTTTGTTCTATACATAAAGTTTAGAAGATGTGTTGCTTTATTGTACGTCTTTTAAACATCTGGCAAGGGACAACAGACAGAAGTTAGCCAATGCAGGATAACTCATACAGTTGTAGCAGAATACATTATGTGAACACTTGCACATTCCCTGCACGATGTTATGTAAAGCACTACTACTACAGCACCATGGGTAAGCAGACAGTTTCAGCATGAATTTCCTCTAGAGCAGCATCCTAAAATTGATTTGTGAAAGCCAAAAATCTCAGCAGCTGTCGTTGTAAACGATCAACAAGCCTTTAAACCGAGTAGAGCTCCACTCCCTGATGCAGTATCTGTGTTTGTGGCTGTGTAGGAGGCAGGTGTCTCAGCTGGAGGAGGGAGACGTGGGCACTCTGCACCCTGTCTACCAGCTCACCTGCCAGCCGTGGATCACTTTCATGGCTGAACTTGGTAAGTGTTATCTCTTATTTTCTGCCAGAGTGGGTAGAAAATAATTTGACAAAGAACAGCATCTTGTGACAATGAGAGGTTTTCTATTCAGTGAGCTGAAGTGTCTCTCTCTCTCTCTCTGTTTCTCTCTTGGCTGCTGGATAACAGGCTGCCCCTCCATTCAGCAGTGCACGGCTGAAATGGCTTCGCACTTCCTGCTGCCGTCCATCTTGGCAGAGATTGTCAGTTTGGTCAGTTCTCTGGCCAGCGACACGACAGTGAAGGCCTTTGAAAAGACAAGGTGAGGCGTTTGCGCTGGGTATGAAGTTAGTGTGGTGGAGGACTTGCAAAGCTATTGCTAATAATATTTCTCTTTGCAATTTACACTTGAAATGATGAAGGCACTTGCAAATGACAATGTAGTGCAAAATGAACCAAAAGACTGACAATGAGGAAGATCTTGGGTGGATTATGATGAGAATATACAGTACAGTATATGAAACCACGTCTAAATCAAACCCTCTCAACTAAATATAAATGTGGTTTTATTTGAAATCAAACACTATAACTAAGCTTGTGTACGAGAGACTAGATGCTCATCTATAGAGGAAACGTTAAAGTGTTTCTTTGGAATGATGGGAAAAACAAACACTGAATGGAAATACTAATGACTCTTCTAGACCATAAATAATTCATAATCAGTCACTGATTAGTTGAGGTTACTCTAAAAGAAATTGCTCCCATATTTAAACTGTCGACTGGACTAAAAACAAGTAAAACATGAAGCAAAATAAAATCATAGCTGTCCTATAGAAAAGGAAATGAGGGCGAACTTGTGTTGTGTCCTGCCGTGCTCGGTCGGTCTTCATAGTCACACTTCAACTAAACGTCCAACTGCTTTCACTGCTTACTTGTCAAATGGCATTACATCTGCTTTGGTGTCATCTTGGAATACAGCCGTCGTCATGTTGTTTTTTCCGCAACCAATGAACAGAAGTGACCATGTTTGGATGTGGAGGAGTGACGTAGAGACATCGTATACGGCTCTGGTAGAGGCAGCAACCTGTCAATCACCGTGTAGCCCCGCCCTAAAGCATCCCCTGCTTTATGGTCTGTGTGACTCTAAATGGACCATAATGTACTAAATGAACATCATGCTGTATTGAAGAAGACTTGAAACTAGAGATTGAGACCATAAACTCATGTTTACAGTTTACTGAGGTAATAAATCAAGAGAGAAGTAGTCATTTTCTCATAGACTTCTATACAACCAGAGGAGTCGCCCCCTGGTGGACACTAGAGAGAATGCACGTTTAAGGCACTTTCTCATTGGCTTCACTCTGCAGAACTGAAGGTTGCTGGCTGGTTTGAATGCAAACAATTCAGTCTACAGGGCTTAAACTGAAAACTAACATTTGAAAGACTTTCAGCCATTTCAAGATCTTTTCTTTTTTCAGAATTCTTTTTGTTTTGTTACTGTGGAGCCTAAATGCATAAAACGCCTTCTGGAAATATTTGTCTTCTCATAAATAAGCTGAGTGTATTGTCATGTCTGTAGAAGATGTCAGACTTTAAGTGCATTTCAAGACTTTAAGGTTCCTGTCTGTATTTTTTACATTACAAGAAAAAGGGGAAACTTCCAGCAGTCCTATAGCTTCACGGGTGATTCATCTCAAATACACACATGGGAGTAGATTTTATTTCTGTTTGCATCAGTCCCACAGACCGGATGATAACTTGTTTACTGTGACATTCTTCTTTTGGCATCATTATCTAACTCATTGAACAAGACAATATGAGTTCAATATGACTCCATTTCCCTGCCAGAAAGACGAAGGCAACAAAAAGTTTGGATTGCATGAAGATTTGTCGATGAGCACACAGATGGTGCAGGGGCTGAGATGCAAAGGGTTTTATGCCCGGTTGTTGTAAGTAGTTCCTCCACCTTGTTCTTGCATCCAACCTACACAAGTGCTTGCCTGGTCGGAAGCCAGTGAGGGATCACGTCCTTATAGCTGCACTAGTGTCTCCTACTGGTTGTTTGCGGTAGGGACAGTCCTCCACAGTGCACAACAGAGGGAAGAATACATTCCACATCAGGAGACAACTGAGCGTAGTCACCCGACGTCTCTTCATTCTTACACAGATGTGTCATTTACATTTCAATAATGTCTGTCTCTGTTTCTTTTAGCTGCTCCGCATCTGGAGACATATTTGTTCCGTTCGCTCTCGCCCACAACCTCGGCCAGCCTCCAGATGCCACGAGGAGCTTCATTCTCGTAGGCCGCAACTTTCATCAGTGGCACTGCAGCACAGAGCAAGGTGAGTGAATTTTCAAACAGGTTTTCATGAAACCTCGCGTGCTAAGCCGAACCAACCAAATGGAGTAGTGGTCGACCATGCAGGTCCTGGAAATCGAAATGGCCATTAGAACTGTAACGATAGCATTGGTTATCTCAGCACAGAAACAGTTGGACGATGTAATGGTAGCAGAAGTAGCACGGACTCCCCGGAGTCTCTTGAGGCGTGTTTGTGACCGCTCTCTGCTCCAAACCACAATCTTCTTCTGGGTTTTTGGCAGGCTACTCCTCTCAGGTTTAAAGGGATAGTGTGGAGTTTTTGAAGTGGTGTTGTGTGAGGTGTTTATCCATAGTCGGTGTATTGCGTACAATGAATGGCAGTCGCCACTCCCCCAATTTGAAGAAACAGGCAGGAGAACCAGCATGGGACCAAAGCAATGTACTGCTGTGGACAGGGGCAGCAGCAAAGCCTATTTTAGACACCATTAAAAACAAAATCAATACCAGTCTATATTTAAAACATTTTCACCGCTTTACCTTGCTGCCAGACGACTCTTTCCGACGGGGAACCGAAGCCGTTATCTGTGCGCTTTTCAAAGTCGCAGGACTCCGTTGACAAAAGCAGTAATTCTACCTCGCAGAGCAGATTAGTTTCTGGTGCACCGCCGCCTCAATCAGTGGTTAGTTTGTTTGTCTTATTGTGACTTTCTCGTTTTAAACAGTCAGTTCAGATTCCCCAAAGTCGCACTGTAACACTGTGAGATGAACCAATGGAGGCAGCAGTAGAACAGAAACCCATCTGTTCTGTGAGGTCAAATGAATGTTTCTGTAAATGGAACTGATGATGGATCTAATGGCTTCAGACTTCATTCAATGGAATTACTCTAATAGTAATGAAAAGAAAGGACAACAATCTGCAGTACCTTTAGGCATTTAGGCGATAGTAGTTTAAAATTGATAAAGGTGACAGCGTGTGGCGGTGACCATCCAGAGAAGCTGGTTTTGATGAATGTTTATAAAGGCATATATCAGTGTCTGAAGACTTGAATAAACTACCCGCAGCACGTCGCTAACACCTGTTCTAACCACATCTGTAGCGCAGAGGAAGAGGTCTGAGCGTGACTGTTCCATGTTCAAGCTTTCCTCATGCTCTTCTCGCTGCTGCTCTTTGTTTCTCTGTCTCCATGTCCATGCCAGAAGCTGTCTAACGCCTCTGTTATTTTTGCAAGTGTCTGCTTCCACCCCTTTGTGTTTCGCTGTGTGTTTCACTGTCCATGCCGCCTTCTGTTTGTGCCATCTCTGTTTGCCTACAGAAGACAGTTCAGAGGAGGAAAACACCCCAGGGCTAAATAGGTTCACACGTAAGTTCAGCTTGACGCATTGACACTGATGGGATGTTTGAAATTGCTGTTCTTTTGATAGAAATGTGGTGTTTAATATATAGTTTGGGATTTTCTTTGTTAAATACATGTATTTAACAAACAACGCGGTGTGAAAGTTGACAAAAGGGCAAGTAGCTAAAGTAAGTCAAAGGCACTTGAATTTGCTTTACATCTTTAGATACGGCCTGTTGTTCTTGAGTCAAGAGAATAAAGGGAGGAGATTATCTTCACTTACCCCGATTAAAGGCCGGCACGCTCGCCACATAAAATGACAAACTTATTTCAATAAAATTTATTTTGTAAAGCCCAAAATCACAAGTTTGCCTCAGAGGGCTTAACGATGTGGACGACATACGACATCATCTGTGCTTTGACCCTCACATTGGTACAGCAACAACTCCCCCAATAAAAGGCTTTAACAGCGAGAAGAAGGGAAGAAACCTCAGGGAGAGCAACATAACAGAGCTACAACACATTCAGTCCATATGATACAGATGATTCATATAATGATGGAAGAACCAGCAGCACTGGATATAGTAGAATAATAATGATAATAAAAGCAGTCATAGAAATAGCATTACTTATTATATCAACTGTTGCCAATTTAAATTCATTTCGCAAGGAATTTGATGGCAGGCCAAAAATAATCTTTTGGCTGTTGGTGGACATCCAAAGTTACACTAAAAAAACAAGTCAGTAAGCTGCCTATTAGTTTCTTTAAAACACAACGAAAAGTAAAGGAGAATACCTGAAAGAGATTGTATTTGACATTGTAGTGCAGTCTTAGCGCTGTTCCAATACAGTGATAAATAGCCCCAAAAGTGTGAATAGCTCAGTAGAAAACCAGATGCACGAGTCGGAGACAAGCTGGGTCAGGCAGGCAGAACTAAACGCTGGAAAGTCGAGGCCCGTCTGGCAGGGAATGAGTGGAAATGGGCTGGTATGTATACTGCAGGGGTGGCTGGATCTGAAATGACAGGAGAGTCCATCTGTGGCAGGAAACAAACAGAGCAGACAGGAACACAAACACTGCCTCTGCTTTAAAGACTTGAGAGTTGAATAAATCTTCTAAAAGTTCAAATAGTATCTGACCCATCTCTGGTGATGACATTATCTCATTGTTTCCTTTCTAGTACAATACAATATCCCCAACATATTTACAGACTGGAACCTTAAGAAAATTCCAGAATAAACACTGAGCTGTTTGTTCCAATACGTCAGGCCTTCACTCGTTTGTCAGCCAACCCTTGGAGTCCTCTCAGAGAACTCTGGGTAGTACAGTGCATTTGGCTTCTGGGCTGATAAAGACCCGCTTAGCAGTTCCGCAGTAAATGTGCAAACGAAAACGAATTACGTGTAAAAAAGTTGATCTCAAAGTGATGGTGCGGTTAAGAACAGATGAAAGAATGTCCTGGCATGGAATCTGTGTAAAAGACACGCACGCTGTTGTGCTCTGATTCCTCCTGCTTTCACTCATTCGCTCTCTCTCTCTCCTCTGCCCAGCTCACAAGGGCTTCCAGCGCTTCGAGGCTCTGGAGCAGAGCGACGTGTTCAGTCCAAGCCAGGCTGGGGAAGGACTGGCTCCCCGCCAGAGGTTCCTCTTCATCAGCATCCTGGACAAAAAGGTGACTTGGCACATGTGAAAGTCCCTCAGGCCAAGAGAACATGACAGAGTTGTTACAAATACAAAAGGTCCCAATAGTTTCAGCTGTAAATGCATCTGTGACCACGACATTACAGTTGTACTAAATGTCCGTCTCTGCTCCTCTTGTCTATTTAACGGCTGCTTCATCAAAACAAAAGAAGTCCCACTCATATCCAGTAGTATGTCAGCATGCACATCATTATCTGTCCAGGTTTTGACACATCCGTCTATGAGATTTCCTCCTTTGAACCCAATTGGAGACCACCATAATGAAAGGCACCAGGTGGAAGAGACCCTCTGACCGCTTGTCTTACCTGAGCTTTGAAGATGCAATGTGTAAGATCTGACCACAACTTTTAAACAGAAAAACAGAAAGTTTAAACATTAAAAAATGGACCTTTATCAACACAATGTGAGGAGGATACAGTGTTGACATTGGTGATAGTGAGTCGCTGTAGCCTCCCAGCCCCGGGTGGGATGAAACGAAAATACTAGTTGTTTTCTCGTTTATATAGTGGACAGTATCTCCGCCTGTCACGCGGAAGACCGGGGTTCGATTCCCCGATGGGGAGCTACGTGTTAGATCCAGGGGTTCTCTGGCCCAATACGGGGCAACCTACTGACTCAGCTCTCTATTAAAAGATTGTCGAGCTGGTGTTCTGTCGAGGAAACTCGCCTGGCTTCTGCTAACTACCGTTACTCCTGACGTCTACCCTGCTTCCACTGGTAACGTGCACTCGGCCGAGGGGCCACCCTGGCCGGGCGCTTCTACCTCGTCGCGTCAGTTATGGCAGCTTTCCTCTTTTGGATCCGGGCTCTTGGTAAATTGCCAGGTTAGGTTTTAACGGCTAGGATTATAACTAAAACCGTAAGGGACTGTTAAGTGGACCGGTCACGAGGATAACCATTAAGAACTCTTGTTGTTAACATACAATAGCTTTACCCTTTTACTGCCATGAGGAACTTCTACTACCTCAGCAAATGAATGCTCTTGAGAACTTTACTTTAAATGCAGATTATATATTTATTGCAGGATATATTAGCATGGGCACAGCTACAGCTCTCATAAAATAATACGATACTTGATTCAATCAGGTTACAATTTCTTCACAGGTTATACTCATTAATTTTCGATGCCGAGGCGGCTCGGTGGAGCTGGATTCACGATGTAATAAAAAGTCCTTTTGAGGTTTTCAGGAGCTGAAGGTCCAGCCGAACCTTCGGCTCCTCCTGCGAGGCCAACGAAGTACGTTCAGCTCTCTCTCAGACTCAGTACAAAGTCTTTAGGGCGGCTGCGTCCATCTGTTGTCCGGTTGTTAATGTCAAACAGGGGGGAGAGGAAAATCTCCGTCTTTCAATCTTTGTCCTGGAACGGCTGTCTTCTTTCCGTGAACAGAGACGAAGTCGTCCGATGCGGTTGTTGAGCGAGGTCCAGTGTTTTCCGTGGAGCACACCGTGGAGCACTTGGGTGGTTCCCGCGTTGAATCCTGTCTTGCTATCTGCAAGTCTTCCTTTTTATAATCTTGGAGCTCTCTCTCCTCCCTCTTCCCCAACACTCCCTCCCTCGGCATGTGATTTACATGACATCATTGATTA